TCTGGTTCTATCATTCCTTGTTTATTAGCCAGAATACTTCTTTAATTAGAGCCTTCCTGTTGTCTACTGTTTGGTTACACATGGTACATTTTGTGTAGAAAATGCAGGATGACTGCTTTCCCTTTATTCACCAGCTTTCAAAATATTGTATTGTCTTATCTTCGTCTACAAGTGATCATTTAGGTTTTTTAAATCATTATTAACTCATGGATTTAAATAACTTGATGTGTTTCAATGCATTAGTTATTTTTATTGATGCTCAAATTGTCCCATTTTTGGTCATTAGTTGCTGAGTCCTGTTGACATACCCTCAGTAGACTTTGATGGCTTCCTTGCTATCTGGTATGACAAGATATCCAGGCTCATTTTGAACATTTTCCACCCACATCTAGAATCACCATTTCTCTAAGAATCCCTGGTTTCTATTAGACGAATATAGTATTTTAAGAGCATAATCTTGTCATGTACTAAGAGCTTATTCATTATTTCTAGGTTTTCAGTGGACAGAGCAAGGAGGTTACATACATGCATAAATAGGTAAAGGAAGGGGAAGACTTTTTTTAAAGATAAAATATTTTATTAGTTCATACTGATACTTATAATTCAAATTCAGGAATACATGGTTTTTACTTAACGTCATCTAACATCTGTATCTCCTTTTTTCCACACTGAGAATCCTCCTTCTCAAGGATACAGAGGATGATGCAATTAGAATATCATATAATTACTATTTTGCTTTATGCCACATTATATACGTACTAGTCTCAGTTAACAACACCCGTACTATCAGCATTAAGATGATTACCAANAAGATGATTACCAAAAAAAATTAAAACTTTTTTTGTATATCATTCTCCAGTTTTACTGTAGTTACATGGTCAGAGTGTACAGCTAATATATACTGTGCTCTTTTTCTTCCAACCTACACTCAGTTCTACAAGTAAATATTTATTTGTTGCTTTCAGAGGGTTTACCGGTTAGTTCAGTTGGTTAGAGCGTGGCCTTTTAACCCAAAGGTCACCAGTTTGAATCCTGTACCATTTAGCCACCAAAAAACCAAACAAAAAAACCTCACTGCTTTGTTTATTGCTTTCAGGTCATTCATTATGTTACTGCTTATCTCTGATCATCTTGGTTGTCTGAAACTTGCTTTCTATTTTATTCCCTAAGAAGGATTCATGGGACCAGTAGTCCTTAAGTTCTTGCATATTGGTGACATTTGTCTGAGTTTTTTAAATTTGACAGTTTGTCTGGATATGATATTCTTGGCTCACATTTTCTTTCCTTAAGTATCTTACATATGTTACTCCACTTTCTCTTAGCATGAAGTGTTACTGTCAAAAAGTCTGATGGCAATCTGATTTTCTTTCCCTTAAAATGTCTTTTTTTTGCTTGGATACCCAAATATATTCAGTCTTTTTCTTTTTTCTTTTCTTTATTTTATTTATTGAATCAAAATCGATTATACATATTTTGGGGGTTGAACATTGAGATATGTTGATTAAACCAATATCACTAGCATATATATTGTTACAAATCATAATTATGCTTCATGCCCCTTGTCCAATCTGCCCCCTTCCCCCTTTCTCTCCCCCTCCCCCCTTTAATTGCCCTAGATTTCTTCTCTCCTTCTGAAAGAATAATGGTTA